GGACTCGATTCATGTGGATGAAACTACTCCTATGTTGAATAAATACTTAGATTGTCTTAAAAAATGAGAAAATGCGAGTCAAATCAAATAAAATAAACTCTCCAGTGATCAAGTCCGTTGTTCCGAACTCAAATAGCATTTTCGAATCACTCTTAAAGCTTCTTGATGCGTCCCGAATCTTCCCCAACGATCCCTGGTCGAAAATAGAGATACTGAAGTCGATTTAGCGGCGGCAGGACCGAGTTTCCGAGTACAGAGCCGTGCGAGGCTCGTCACTAAGCTGAGGAGAATGAACGGGGCGAGAAAGAGGCAGATGCACGCGCACTGACGTGGAAACGTTAGTACGACATGTGACGATAAGTGCCACGCACCATGAAAAATGCATCTCCTCGCCGCTTACGCAGGGGAGTCTGCGCGGATCCGCTCAGCGTTCGTCGGACTGGTGCATGCAGGTAGGGGTGTTGCTGCACGGCGTCTGCTGGAGGGTCGAGGCCAAGGGTATGTAACGAGCTCGACGCGATGGTGTGGGGAGTAACGGAGGCGCCTGTAACGGCAGCGGAGAGGGCAATGTGCGGGGTTGTGGGTGCGGTTTGCTCCTGGGGCACTCTGTTGCTGGTGCTGTGGATGGGGAAAGTCAGTGAGCTTGAATATGAGCCGACAAGGTGCGTAGCTACGCACTTGGGGCCTATTCCCCCTTCTCTGGTTCTCCCAGCCCATTCCCAAGCACTGTACTACCATCTTGTCGCTTTCTGTGACGCCAGCCATCTTCGTGCGTCGTTGTCCCTGTTGTCGCTGCAGTCGTAGTCGTTGTCATTGTCGTCGCTGTCGTTGACGTGTTTGTCTTCATCAGCTGCAGCGATGATGGTGGTGCAAAAAGAAGATGGGGAGAGTTCAGAAATGCGAACGCGCGGCGGGTGAAGAGAGTGTTCGATGAACAAACAAACTGTCACGCGCACATCACGCGATGAGTCGCGTGACTAGTCAAAACACAAATCGCCCACCAGTAGGCTTTGTGCTATGGTGCCGATCACTTAGCCACCGCTACTTTTGTACAGCTTACATAAGCCGGCCAATTTGGCCAGGCGATTTTTTTTTTGGCTGGCAGCAGAGAGAACATTTGGCACCGTCAATTACACTAGAATGCTGTAAGAAATTAGTGAAAACTAGCTATGTAGAATTGGTTGTCTGTACTGTAGGCAAATAATCAAAGTTCTTGAACTCAAGGAATGCCCTGTCGTTCAAAATAGTATACTAAATTTCTCCAATCCGCTGCTTGGGCTCGTACAAGACGTCGCCATGACACAGAAGAATCACAGGCCCTAACCATTCACGTCAACCCCATCATTCTCGACTATGAGTCTGAGCCTAACATTGATGAGGAGACAGAGGTTTGCACCTGGAAAGGTGGTGTCAATATAATCTTCCGATAATCTCTCGCTTATATTGGACCCTTAATTTCCTTTTTTGGAAGGGCAGCCAAATCCGGCCAACCTCGAATTTAATAACTCCGTTAGTTTTTATTTTTTTTTGCAAAATCCTCTAACAAATCTTCTCGCCTCATCAAAATAATGTGTTTTGTAAGAGGGTTAAGGTTTTGGACCAGTTTTTACTAAGTTATTTCTCCTGTACAAAAGTAGCGGTGGCTAAGTGATCGACACCATAGTACTGTTCAATTACGACCGACTCTTCAGTCACGCGTCACAAAGCTCTGCAAAGAGAAGAGATATACCTATTGTCACGCATCACATTGAATTTTGAAGAAGGTGATAAAATTTTCAAAATTTTCTTAAAATGGAAATATATTTAAGTAGCTTGCCAAGGAGGATGTGTCACGATGAGATGAGGTCATGAAGAGTGAAGTTGTGAAGAGATTTTGCGGTTTGTCACAGGATTTTTGGCATCATGAAGAGATGATCAGCCATAGGTTTTGCGTCACGCGTCACAACGGCCGATGAGTTGGTCGTAATTGGACAGTATAAGTAGAGTAGATATGTCATAAAAAGTTTTTTTATGGGCTTATATGCTGAATAACTGGCATAAATACTCATATAATGATATTAAAATTCAATTATATACATACATGGTCAATAACTGCTAGTAGTAATACCTATAGCAATAACCGTCCGGGTAAAGCATAACTGTTATAGCTGGACATTTATGCGGCTGTATTTTTTTGTGATGCTAGTCTGCAAGGTATGACAAAATGGATAGGGTGCTGCCTGTCCACCAGTTATATTGAGTTTTCTGAACTCATCAATTCCCTCGCTAACATCACATTTAAATTAGCTCATATTCCATACAACATACTCTACTTGAAGCACCTCACTGCTATTCATATCCGCAACCAGACACACAGCGTGGATTTGAAAATTGTGGCCATTTCCTGCAGGGTGCTATTGATACTCAAGCCATTGGAACACTTACATGTGCACTCATATTAGACTACAGCTGTCTTGAAATTAAGGCCGATTGACCTTTTAATCACCCAGGCATGCATAAATCTGACTTTGATGATGACCACCAGCCTCACTCAGCCTGGAGCCAACAAAAAACAAAAGAGTCATTGTCGTACCACTACTCCCCCTTCTATGCCAAAAATTTCTAATGTTGTCACCTCTGGTTTGAATAAAATGGAAAATTCAGCCAATAACGATGTGATTGACTTTTTTTAGGAGTAGATATTCTGCTGTAACGCCTAGGGGGCTTTTGTAGCAGATGTGACACTGGGTTGATGCAATCTCTTTTGTGTAAGCCTAGTGTACGCCGATTCAGGGCTGTAAATAAACAAACTCTTTATTAAATACTAATTACTCTGTTGTTTACTAGTCGTTAGCAAAACGACTTGAAAATCAAGGATCCGGACGTCAATGTTCTTGTTCGCTGTAACTTATGGCCTAGCGTACAATCTAGCTCAACATTCACCCCCTGAAAACCAAGGCATCTGCCATCGTGGCGTAACGGTAGCGCATTGCTTTCCTATTCAGCTAGGCAGGGGTTGTGGGTTCGATCCCCATCGACGGTTTTTATTATTACTTTTCTCCCAGCTTCCTACCGCGTTTATACACCAAGAGGAGGAACCAATTTCGGCACAAACGGTAACGTGAAGCGACGAAAGACTTTGACACTCAAATATGCATGAATTCATTAACATATAATAGTCTCTGATAGTATTCTCAGCTCTTATTTGAAGTGAAAAAGCTTTGTTGAACGTAGGAAGATGCAGCTCTAGTGATGAATTTGAAAATGAGCCATTTGAGACATTGGGCTAGAAAACACGCGTGATACCGTAGCCAAATATGTACAACCGAGTCTTCTCATGATCACTGCCGTTGATTTCGATTTCGCTCTTCTTGCTGCACTCCCTCCACCGTGGTCACCGCAGTCCGCCTCGCTCGCTCGTTATTGATTTTAAACTCGCACCTTTCATGCTCGAACACGAATGAGGACGAACCAGAAGCCTTCAAGTTCGAAAAGAACGCTTAATTGAAGAGGTTACATCTTGCTAGCAATGACGAAGGGGCGCTGGGGATTCACGTAAATTGTCAGGTCTGTCGGCCCGTTATGTCATATTTTGCAACTGATGATTAATGGTCGTCTTTGTTTAGAATACTGGGCCGCTCCCCCGAGCCACCGAGGTCGGCATTAACGATCTCGGTCCCACAGACACACTGGATTTTTGGGAATGGTCGACTGTGGATCAGGAGTCTTCGGGGGTCGATTCTGCTACAGCTTTCAATCTTCCTGCATATGGCTCTTGACCCCTTCCGCAACCAAATACGTGTCTCATATACCCATCTCTTGTCCTTGTGTTTACATGCTTGATATAAAAGATTCAAACAGAATATCCCTGCTAGCACCTAAATGTCTGCGACGTTGGGTTGAGGGAGTGGGTATGGATACTGGTGAGCGTTGGATACTACGCAACGTGCAATTTTTGTCAGTTCTGGTGTTCCTTCTGTCTGCTCGTCTGGGATATTTAGGACCAATGCTGTTAGAGCTCGCCTGATTGATGGAGAGCCTGTTTAACGTAAGGTGGATTTGCTGAGAGCGTCTGTGTGCTTTTTTACCACCCATCGCCAGAGGTAGCGTCTCTCTGCTGCAATTACTCGTACTCTATATCTCTAATACCAGCGATAGAAAATATGCAATTATGCTCTCTGGCGGCACCGAAATCTGGAAAGCCATGTGATGTTCCCTAGTTGGACTTCGTTATATAATATTCGAGTACATTCGCGATCACTCGAACTCATCTTGACATTAATCGTTCTTCACCTTTAAACTCTGCTATTCACTAAAGATCTCAATAGAAAAATACATCATAGTGGCATCTAAGGCCGTAGAGACCCTTACCGAAGTAACATTGCAGTTCGGTAGCTATGCTATAAATTCAACGTCCTCGCACAAGTCAGCCTCTCTACCTTTAATTATCCGTATACTATTCAATTTACAACAGGAAACGACGTGGTGGGATAGTATCTTGCGCCATGAACGGAGTTTTTTATGTCACTCATGAGCTCTTGAGAACTTCGTAATACTATACTAAATCTAAGTATGCTTTATTGTTGTACAATAAGCCAAGACGGGTGTGTAAGAAAAGAGGTAATTTCCAACAGCAATTCAAATACATTAGCTAAACCACTCGTTCACCTTCATGCAGGTAGTGTCATCCAGACCACTGCCGGGATTTTTATTGCAAGATGAAGCATTCGTAGGGAATTTTACCGCGTGATACTGTATAATGCTACCAGAATGCATCTAGCCCGATCCTAATGGATACTCACTAAGAAATCGGTACTTAAGTCAATGGTGCATTGGATCACGTCGAGGATATCCGAGGAGAAAGAATGGAAGTCAGGAGAAACAGTGAGTCGAATCTTTCTCCATTTGTATATATTTCCAATAGCCACCATTAAATATTTGCTTGCTTGGTCTAGGGAGCTTTTGGTTTCCTAGCGGAGATCCCTTGCCTGGGACTCCACCGCGTGCCTTAGACACGAACGTATGTAATGGGGAGTTAGGAACAACACGAGCCACCAGCGCATCTTTGTGAGACGCTCCTTGGACGTCTCCATTGCTTAGGTTTCATCTAAAGATTAACAAAATTGAGGTCATAAAGAGGAGGAAGCGAGTATGGCTATCAAAGGGCTATTTAGAAGGGGAGCGTTTCGTCCTAATGCCACACACCTTACAGGAACAGCTATTAGTAAAGCAGCCGAAGAGAGAATGCCTAATACCGATGAGTGAAACGTGCAAAAAAAAACTCCTTCAAGTCCATGAGAACCTTCACACACGAATTTTGAGAAATAAAGGGCCCATCACATATAAAATCATTTGAATCTCGATATAAGTTAGCATGTATCATAATTAAAACAGTTTTAAGGCATTAAAAGGAGGTTGTGCGGCACAATCATGTTTACGGTTTCCTTTATTCAACACCAGACTTCCACCCCTTAAAGTGTAAACATATGAGCCTTCTCACAGAACTTCATCTTTGGAGTTTGGCATGCATCAAAGATGGTGTGACTATGATAGTTCCTTTATGCACGCTGATAATATCAACCTGTCCTAGAAATAGCTATTACTGATGTTGAGCAGGTATATAAGGCATGTTTTCTCTTCTTGGAATACCATCCCCCAGAACATCTGCGGCTTCATAACAAGTCTTCAATTTCCACAATATGATATTTAATACCAACACCGTCTGTACCATTCTCTCTTTTTTCCTGCAGTGGATCTGAATATCGTTTAAACCTTGAACCTTAGCTCTTGATATCAATTTTCCTTGCCCTCTCGATGGCGTGCGCTGAAGGAGCAGGAGTTCGCTTCACCTGTTTCGGATCTGGAACGGTGGGCACCGAATGCGCACCGTTTGTGAACGACTTTTGTAATAGCTTGATAACGAACGTGAGGCATTCAAATCCACTGTATATCCAATACAGTTAAAATCTGTCTTTGAATATAGATCGCATTTCGAAACAACCAAGAAAGATGCTACAACACGCCAGACATCAAATGTTAATGCTAGTACTTATTTTCAAATTTTCAGTCATTTACGATTGGGTTACAGGTGACTTTGCTGCTTTCTACGAATTTCCAAACGTGGCCGGAAACCCACCCGCCGCAGCACCAAGCATAGCTAACTGTTTAAATACACTCGATAATGCAACAGCAATCTGCGGTGGGGTAAATTTTACTCAACTTCTTGTGATACTTGATTCAAGAAAACGCTAAAATTTGTCTGTTACAGCTTGGTGGCTTTGGCAATGTTGGTGGTGGTGGATTTACCTTCACTCTTGACCCGAACCAGGGACAATGCGGACAGATTGAGGCATGTGGTAGCTGAACGTGGAATTTTAGAGAGAGATTTGGGTAATAATAACAGAGTGTGGAAATAAGTGAGGGAAGAAATAATAATAAAAAGTGAGAAAACTTGATATGTTGACAAGGCTGAATGTAAATCTTGAAACCATCGTCCAAAGAATGCTCTTATTTGATTAAATTACCAATATATACCAGATGGTTTTTTAGTCGGAAACGGCTTAGAAAACCATGCTAAAGCTATATTGGCATACTTTGGGTGGACACCAAGACGTAATCCTGCCGTTCTGTGTTCAACACTGGTAAATATATGTATTTCGATTATTGATCATTAATACCTTACACCTCTCCTTTCATTATGACTTCTGGTATATGCTACTGGAAGTATGACCAGCTTTCCATCGGAAGTTGGTCTATATCTTTCATATGACTCATATACATTCATTATCTCTGGACATACTCTGTCAAGTAAAAATGATCCTGATATCACGCTTAAAATATTCATTTTCATCAGAATAGTCTCTTCATTAGACTCTTATATTGAAGGCGCTAGCCATCTATTCCAAATATAAAAGTAGTTATTCCACGGAGTCTATATGATACATGGTGATTAGTCCGCTGTATTCATCCTTTTTTAAAACCAATTAGATTGGTATCTACATTGGCATATCAATGCTATGGACAACGGTGACAGCGCATTTTCATACATCTCCTTGCCTCTGTAATTCATTTCTTAAGCTGAGAAACAAAGCATCTACCGTTGTGGCATAACAGTAGAACTTTTCTTCCCAGTCTGACTAGGTCATTTTGATCCCCATCGACGTTTTTTAAAATACTTTCTCCTGACCATCGCGTTTATATCCCAAGAGGAAGATCAATTCTGTTCAAAATGCTGTAAAGTGGGGAAGAAAAAGACTTTGACACGCAAGTACATATTTATTCACTACCAGGAAAAAATCTGGAGTAATTTTTTACATCTTTATTTGACGTACACCTTTTGTTCAACGTTCACAGATGCGCCTGTAGCAAAGAATTTGAAAGTGGGTCATTTGAGCCAGAACGGCGTGAGAAAATCCACTAGGAAGCCGTGGCCAAATATTTACAATCAAGGCTTGGTGAACCAGGCGTTTCCATGTTGTTACTGATGAACTTCTTCGAGTCGTAGAACTTTCTGCACCATGGATTCTGCCTTGCTTTTCCGCCCGTTGTCGCCGGATTTTTTACTCGCAAAATTGAAAATTTGACACTCGAACACGAACTAGGAACTTTCAAGTTCAAGAACGATGCCGGAGGTTTGCGTGATTTGTCTAGTGTGAGCCCGTTGTATAGCATCGTGTGGTGGATAATTAAAAGTCAGTTTCGCACAGGACATTCAGCCGCTCCTTCGAGATCGGCACTGGGGATCCTTGGTCCCACAGTCATGGTGGATCTGTGAATCGAAAGTCTTTAGGACTCATTCTTCCATGGCTTTCAATCTTCCTGGATATGGCTGTCGCGTCCGCAACGATAAATTTGTATATGACAGAATCCACTATATATCACTCGCATTTTTCATGTTTACCTGTCTTTTTTCAACGCCAAATCACCATCCGCATGTCAGTGTATGTTTCCCGCTCGAATACGTCTTGCGCTCTCATCCTTCGAGTTGCAGTGAGCATTGGTACCCCATAGCCAGATCTACGTTTCGTTTCGGGTTACACCTAT